TGTTTCAGGAAGACTTTGAGAAATTTACAGTATCTGCTTTTCTTCCAAGAAAGTTGTCACTTTTATGCCAGAGTGAGAATTATTTGTATGCTTTGTATGTCAGCATTGGGCCACTGTGACTGGGGGGGCACTTAGCTTGACTTGAGAGTAATTATCTTGCTCACTGGCTGGGAGGGAGGGTGTGTGGCAGAGGAGATAAATACTGGGTTCTGGATTATTCATAGATTGCTGACTTTCTGGATTGATTGTGCAAGCCCCTCCTTTTATTGATGTCCACCTTCTGTTGACAGACATCTACCCTGGGAGAGAAATGAGATGAAACTCTCTTTCTTGTCATTGTAAAAAGCATTTGAATTCCTAAGGTGTGATAAGGCCACCCAGCCATCCACAGTCAAGATACACATTTTCATGGAGGATGTTCCCACTCTTGAATAAATTAAAACAATTTTTTCTTTTAATTTAAACTTTCTTCTATAACTGTTTTCTTGTTACTTAAAAGCTAGTTTTTCTGTATATGTCCTTGGAATGAATTTATAAATAAGAATTGAGCCCGGTGGGTGTGACTCAGTGGTTTAGCATCGATCTATGAACCAGGAAGTCACAGTTTGATTCCAGGTCAGGCCACATGCCCAGGTTTTGGCCTGATCCCCATTACGGGGTGTGTAGGAGGCAGCCGATCAATGATTCTCTCTCATCATTGATGTTTCTATCTCTCTCTCTCTCTCCCTTCCTCTCTGAATCAGTAAGAATATATTTTAAAGAGAGAGAGAGAGAGAGAGAGAGAGAGAGAGAAGAGTGTATATGCTTGTAAATAAGAAAATATGTATTTGATGCTCTTAGAAAGTCTTATTTTCTTTCATTAAAACTTGTGCAGTATAGGGAACTCCATAGATTCTCTTAATTTGAAGAAAGTTAGAGGGAAAGGTACTAATTCAGAGTTCCTTGGGAAAATGTATCACATATATTTTTTTATGTTTATTTTTTTTAAATAAAAACTGAAATATTTTCTATTCAGAAAATATATTTGGATCTAAATATCTTCTATAATTTTAACCCTAAAATATCAATTTAAATATTTTAAAAATGGTTGGGATGTTTGTTTATTTTTAAATAAGTTAGGTTACTGGAGTTCTACATGTTACTGGATCACCTGGGGTAATTTTCTGATTGGAAAATTAAGAATTATAGTCAGAGGGAAGGACATTAGAATTTTTAAAGAACATATTCAGTTTACTTTAGAAGCTGAACCTCTCCTATCATGTGACTTGTTTTGTATGTTTGTTAAACTATATTATCACATAAGCATTGTTGCTATTGGGACAAACAGTGACAGTTGATTCAGGTCATTTGAATGTCCACTGTCTGTTTTAATTTGTATGTTCATTTTGACTCTGTCATATGCTCAATCTTCAATGGAAGTCATGAGAACCTATTATTTTTGCCTGTTCCCTCCTTTATGTTGGAAATATTCTTTTTTACCCAGAGGGACCTTAACTTTGATGTAAGGGATTGTTTCCGTTGCCGACTTTTTTCTTCCTTGCCAAGTAAGAGAGTTGTGAACTCTTCAGTGATGCCTTCCCCAGGATATTTGCAGATGTGGTTGGGAAAAGTCATTTCATCCCCGACCTTTGCATGTCAGGTGCTGGGGTGCCCAGGTGCCGCCTGGCCTGTGCCCCGGCTCTCTCTCCCTCCGATCGCCATGGCAATCACGGGCGCAGGCAGCTGGCAACCCCAGGGTTGCTGCCTGGCCTGCGCCCCGGCTTTCCGATGGTGATCACTGGCTGGGTGGTGGGCAAAGGCGGCCTTTGCCCGCCCCCCAGCTCTTGCCTGCCGCCTGGGTTTCTGATCACCCTTCTTCCCTCTTTCCCCTTTCGCCTCCCATCATTGCGCATATGCAAATTAACCACCATCTTTGTTGGCAGTTAATTTGCATATCGCCCTGATTAGCCAATGGGAAATGTAGCAAAGGTACGGTCAATTACCATGTTTGTCTATTATTAGATAGGATACTTTCCATTTAGTATATTGTGAATTGTTCAGCTTATTTTCAGACACATTAATTCCTTGTCAAATAAGAAAACTCAAACCCCCGCACCATCAGCTTAATAGAGAATAATTTCACCAAAAATGTTAATATTCAGAAAACATTGATTTCCATATTCTTCTGTTCCAAATATTTAAAGCAGCGGTTCTCAACCTGTGGGTCGAGACCCTTTTGGGGGTCGAACGACACTTTCACAGGGGTCGCCTAAGACCATCGGAAAACACATATATAATTACATATTGTTTTTGTGATTAGTCACTATGCTTTAATTATGTTCAATTTGTAACAATGAAATTGGGGGTCACCACAACATGAGGAACTATATTAAAGGGTCACAGCATTAGGAAAGTTGAGAACCACTGATTTAAAGAAAAGTATTTTATGTAGCTTCCTTGGTATTAGTTTCTTGACATTTCAAAACATCAAGATGAATTCAATAAATCTAGAAGAAATTTTGGAGGAAGTTTTTCTTTTTTTTCTTTTTTCTTTTTTTCATTATAAAAGCAAATCACAAGAAATGGAAGTAGTCCACCCACCGGAGACAGCTTCCGTTAGCACTCGGGGACATTTCTATCCCTGCCCCACCACAAGGCCCTTCCCTTCGCATTTTATCAATCTGGCTTCTGTTTCTCATCATTTT